CCCCCCCCCTGGGCCCCCAGCCTAATGGTTTCCCATCTTCTGTCTGCTTAACAGTTGATAATATATGTCCCACCACTGGACAATAGTGATCATCAGCCTCCAAACCTCAAGCGACTCAACTACAGCTTTTATGGTCTTTTATAGCAAAAACACGTGATACTGTAGTGATTAAAAAATGTTCTTTTATCTCTTCAAGAGTAAATTAGCCAACAATTACATTCGATTAAATTAGATAATTATGTCTGGAAAACGTATGGAAGGTTGATAGTAAATGTACCATTTTGTTATTTGCAGCAGTTTATAAACATTGAAATACAGGCACTTATTTTATTGTCATAGAGTTAATGGTTTTCCATTTTTTCCACTACAGCATTTTTTGTGGTAGCATGCTGTGATGGTAAAGATGCAGAATTAAGTGGAGGTGGGGTACGGTGTAAAGTTCTTGGTCAGTCTGGAAAAATAATGATAGAATTAATTGGCAACAACACAAAGGGAAACTTCAGTGAAGCCAATGAAGATCGTTTGACATTTGCAGTGGATGCAATTCAAGAGGTCGATTCACAAGGGAATGTTGTTGGCAAAAGTGGTCCAAGAAAGCATGCTTTGAACAGCCTGGCGAGTCAGACATTTACATTCACAAAGGCTGACAATGTGTCATATTATGAAGGAATTAAGGTGGTGAATGTCAATCTGACAGCATACCTGTCTGGACCACAGGCTAACCTTGATATCATGGTCTTCCTGTTTCTGGAGAGTGGCAATGTCACATTTGGTAATGAGTCATTTTCAGTGTATAAAGGATCTTTAAAGTTCAACATCAAGGTTTGTTCAGTTCAGACATGGTTTATTGTGTACTGAATAAGAAGCTAACTTTTCTTTACTGAATTTCAAACATCTCACAAAAAGCACATACAAAGAAAAAAGGGATGCAAAAATTATACGCATAAAGTTACAAAAAGATAGCTATAATTCCTAGAAAAAGACCAAGGTATCTAAGTATACAATGTTACTCTCTTTAAAAAAAATAAGCAATAACAAATAAACTTTACTAAAACGTTTTTTCTTCAATTTTCTTGACAAATTTAATAACTACTTATTAATAACTCAGAGTGATGTATTTACAGGAAAATCTCAAACTGAGACCTTGCTTGCAAGGCCAAGATTTTGAGGTTTTCCAGTTTACAGGCTAGCTGTTAAATATGAAGTAAAATATAGTTAAATAATTCATATTTAAATAATTCATTAAATAATTCATATCAGTGTGAAAATCTCACTAGCAGCCAACTCTTTGAGGGCTTTTAACACCATTGAGGGTCTGTCAAATCATGTGCATTGTGAAAGCCATGTGAATACCCCAAATCCAGACTTGCCAGCCATTATCAATAAGTTTGTTGTGTTCTTTTCCTCCTAAGATCAGGGACTGGGAGTTCTGCGATGCAGGACTTGACAACTGTGGGGCAGGCAACAAAAAGGAAACAGGTGCATTCATTGATCTCACACTTCAAGTAAAGAGCAAGGGAACTCCAAAGAAAGAGAGCAAGAAGGACCGAGAGAAATCAAAGAAAAAGCCCATTTGTCACAAGAACTCTACATGCCCTGAGGTTTATAATCTGGGTGGGGGTTCAGATGTGGTGCTGAACAATGAGGTATGGAACTACTTCTTGCGCTAGCTAAGGGCAGGTAATATGTATATACCCAATAGTTTTGATGTCAATATATATATGCTCACTGTTTCTTGGATGATTTTCGGACATGCAGTGTTTGGTGGCTATTCAAAAAAAAAAATTTAGTCAGGCTAATTTTCAAAAGAGTTTAAAGGGTTTTATTAAGTCTTTAAACCATTTTCTAGTCAAGATTATGAGTTTCAACATTTAATATGCAGTTCCAGAAAGAGCTTCTGCTAGCAGGGAATACTCCTGACCTATCACAGATGGGATTGGAATTTCCTGGGGTGGGGGTTCTGTTAAAGACCATGAAATTTAAAGAAATGTAAGAAGCTTTACTGGAATTTCTAGAGGGGTGGGATTCTTAGAAGCATTTAAAAGGGTACTTTTCATTAACTTGGTTTAATAATGTGGTCACAGTAAAGTGCTGCTAGTCAATGAAGAGTTAGCAAAATCTTGCTTTCTTCATGGTTGGCAACCCTGACAATCTTACTTTTCCTGTTGGCATTATTCTTGGTGACCCTTTCAACAGTGTCAATCATTAAAATGCACTCAAATCTTGACAGGGTTATGAAGTTGTTATGTAAGTAAATAAGTACTTTTTATTTTGCGACTTAAATGAGAACCCTTGGTGCAGTGGTCTCGAGGTTAGTGCACTCGACTCTGGATCCAGTGGTCCAAGTTCGAGTCCTGGCTGAGAACACTGTGTTGTGTTCTTGGGCAAGACACTTTCCTCCCACAGTACCTCTTTCCACCCAGGTGTATAAATGGGTACCAGCAAATTTAATGTGGCAGGTAATGTAACCCTGTTATGGACTAGCATCCCATAAAGGGGGAAGTAGAATTACTCCTAGTCACTTCATGCTATGGAAACCGAAGACAGGCACCAGCCTGATGGGCCACTTGGCTCATATGTAGGCTTTACCTTGGCTTTGTTACAGTTTAAAAAAGGCCTTGATAATTCAAAAGCCAATAGTGTTTTTTGTTATTTCTTTCAGATCATAATCGATGAAGAAATTGTTGACATGTCTGATGGATTTCCCAAATTTGAGATCAAAGGCAGCAAGAAACTGTTTACCTTCCGCATTCCCAAATTTAACAACAGTGTCATGATTGATCCTACTGTTAATGTTGCTGGAAGCGAGGGGGGTGGGGAGGTGAGTGGAGGAGGAGGAGGAGGTGGAGACACCACCACTGCCATTTCTACCACCAGTGAAGGAGACACAAGCAGTGCCTCACTACCATCATTTAAATTAATGTGCTTTGGTTTCTTCGTGTCTGTGGCTACCATGTTCGCAGTTTCGTTTAACATGAGAGCATAATGTGTATTGTTAAACTCCAGAAAGAAGCAGTTATTTTTTAACATATTTGCAGTAAAAGCTTAATATCTGAGTTGACAATTATCAGCAATGCAATAGAGCTGTAACTGACATGACATTCATTTTAATCCATCAAAACTTAAGCACCATGTGAGAGCATCTGTTTGTTTGTTTTTTTTTTTGGCATTTGTTTTGCACCCTGAGAAAAATGTGAGTGTGTGAGACAAGAGAGGAAAAAAAACAGATAATCTTGTAGGCTAAAACTTGTGAGGATTTAAAGTAGCATTTTCCTGAAATTAATCTATCACTGTATTATTATTATTATTATTGTAGATAATGATGTAAGTGTTCAAGGACTGACATGATACACATGCTGATCATCAATGTTTTCAGACTAAATGAAACAGTCCTTCATGCACAAAGTGGACTTGTGTTCATTAATAAATATAATTTAGAGATTGTACTTGTACATTGCAAACTAGCAACTAAAAGTAATCATGCTGTATTTGGTGCTCATACCCTTAAATCCTCTGAGCCTTGAATCTGAAGGAGAAGTATGCCGGAAAAGAAATCTGTGTCAATTGTGATACACTTTCCCCAGTTCTTGGATTTGGATGGGAAAAATTAAGGGTTATGCTTGACAACACACATCCTCATGTACTGAGACCAGGAAATGAAAACAAAATTTGGCCTCCACAAATCTCTACTCTAGATAATCTAGTTTCAATACATTTAGAATCATAGTAAAATGAACTAAAGCAAAGCATGACTTTGTACTGTCAGATTTTAGACCATTTTATAAGGACATTGAAGTCTGTAATTTTGTTTGATATATCTTAGCTTCAAATTCAACTGTAATGTTGACATGAGGAAAAGAGAAGAGAGCTTAATTATTATTTACACATAATTAAACCAAGTAGTTCTGAACATTACAAAATGTTATTAGCTGGTGGCTCAGTAAACTGTATGGTCATTAAAATCTCAAGTCACTTTGTTGCCTGGCATCTGTACTCCAGCAAAGTTTTTGCTGCTTGCAATTTGGACATGCTCTCTTGCTTGATTTTGAATAGCAGTGTGGCCTTAATGGAGATGAGGGGGTGTTTGAATTTTTTTTTGGAGGGTGGGTTGTTACCTGAAACATGCATTAATTCATTGCAATGCTCTGCTTCTTTCCCTACTCCCCTACTATATCCATCTTCCACCCCTGCCCCCTCCCATTAATTTGAATAATAGCAGGTCACTTATTTACAACTCATTGACTGAATAACAACACTGTGCTATCATGTTATGCTTCATTCTTCAAAAGGTCTTGACACATGTTAAGGGGGTGGTCAAAAAGGGGCTCTGTACTCTGTAGTTGTTTCCTTCAGTTAAACTATTGTTCTGATTGCATGTTTTATAGTGGCTCCCAAAAAATATTATATCTATTGAGAAAGAATCCTGAGGGTCTCCCAGCGGGAGCATGTTCCGGCCTGGATCCTGTTTCTCTCTTTTTCCCTATTAACAATTCCATTGTTCCCTACAATTTTTTTCTCACAGTTCCCTTTAATAGTAGAAATATCCCTTGTTCCCTCAAATTAATTCCAAAATATCCCTTGTTTCCTTGAAATCCGAAAACCCCTGGGATGACCTCAACCCTAGGGACAGCGTTGCAACTCTATCTTCAAAACTCTCAGTAATATTGTCACTTACATGTAAGGACCTTTTTGAGCAGCCAGAGAGAAGAAAATACTCATTCTAATTCGTAACTTGCACGGCAAAAACTTGTCATTCCAGGTGTCACGGTTTGAAGTTGTAGGAGCCCTCCGTTTCTCCGACCACATGACCAAAAGAAACGGAGGTTCTGGGAACGAGAATGACCCTGGGCACAAGTAAAACTCCCAATGCGCCTGCGATCTTCCGATTACCGCTGAATTTTGCACGTGGTCGCGAGTTTGGCTTCAAGAGTTGTTTTGGCAGAGAGCTAGCGAAGAATTTTGCGGATTGCAATGGCTAAAGAGGTGCCTCAAATGGTTAAGTTTTCACTGAGGTCCGTCTTGTTGTCAAGTAAAAAGGGAATCAAGCAAACAAGTATCGAGAAGGACTACTACAAGCTGACAAACTCAAACCTTGACGTCAAAAAATATGGCTACCAGGACTTGTATGAATTTTTGCTAGCGCTCCCTGACGTTGCGAGACTGGAATTTTCTGTTAAGGATGGAGAGAACAAAGTGTTCGGGGTTGCTGCAGAGGGTGTTTATATGTCGGACCATGCGAAGAAAGCTGAGGGAATCCCAAATGGACTCAAACCTTTGCCACCTTCGGAGTGGCCTAGAAACAAAGAGCAAAAAGTCGAAAAGTCTACCTTGAAAATTACAGCAGAGTCGGACGAGAAAAGGAAGATTTTGCCTAACTCCCGAGGATTATATGGACTCCATATTAAGAATTTACCTCCTGGTTGCCAAGAAGTAAGTAGGTCTTAAGCTTACTACTTACCAATGAAGTGTGGAAGGAGCCTAAAAAGCAGAAAGCTGCACGAGCAAACCAAAACCTAGTTTTCTCACAGCCATTTTTCCTATCTTTGTTTGATTTTTTCATCTTGCTCGACTATTACGTAGCCTGGGATGGCTGGTAGGGATTGTTCATGCATGGTCTATATATAGGTTGCTGCTGCATTCTGTATCAACATTGACCACTTATTAACCAAGAGTGAGGTCTTATGGAAAAATCTCAAACCAAAGATCTTGCTGTATTGACTGAGAGATAGTGAAGTCAATACTATAAGGCTTAGGTTTGAGATTTTCCTGTAGAGACCGAACATTCAAGGTTTAAAAGAAGTTTATCATGTGGCTTATAAAAAGCTCTTTGGTTGTTTCCTTTGTCCTGCATGGCACTAACTCGTTCCTAATTCAACATTGTGAATTTGTTGTTCTCCTGGAATTGTAGCTCCTCAGGGTTATAGATTTAAATCTCAGCGTGTTCCTCATCAGTCAACGTTTTCAGCCATTACAATTTTCAGGAAAAAAAGCAATGTTTTTTATTTACCTCTTGCTTTGTTTTTGCAGGCCCATAATCAGCCCGTGAGCATTATGGGAGAATAATGCCCTAGAATTAGCCAATCAGAGCATGCCTTATATCAGCCACAAACACAAGCCATATGATAACTCTATTTAACAATAAGATAATGAGCTTGAGATTTCTATTGCCTGATAGTTGATGAGGGCACAGTCCAAGTCAACCTGACAAGAATAACCCTTATTGTTGTAGTATAAATCTACCAGTAGTTCAGAACTTCGTCTAAATTATCCTCTTCACAGACACTTTAAAAATGCAAGAAAGTGCCATCTTTTTGTTAACAACCACACACTGCTAGGCTATTCACTATCTACAACAGAATACATAGTGAGTAGCGTGGCCAATACGAGAGTGACATTTGTGATTAGACCATTAGTAGATTTATACTAAGTCTATTCATATTTCCTTTCCAGAATGAAATAAGTCGTATCTTCAAGCAGTTTCGCAGTTTAAGAGAAGTGAAAATTGAAAGTTCTAGCAGGTAGGTTGTTTGTAATATTGTTAAATTATGCGGTAGAAATCAACAATTCTCGGTAGACTACAAGCCCATGAGTTTTCTATGAACAAGTATTTAACAAGGTGCAGCCAAATTGACCATCAGTCATGGAAAATGAGGATAAGTGGTCTAATAAAAAGTAGTCAAATTCTCTCTTAATGGGCACCTCTATTAGAGGAATTATCTCCATAAGAGTAGACGGATGAGCGGTGTTGGTCCCTGCTCTTGTTTAGTCGTTTTATTGTAACTAAACTCTCTAGAAGATGGACACCTGTCTAAGATGGACAACAAACACATTTTGAAACTGGCAAGGGACATTTGAGAAGTGCTATACTACAAAATGGAAGTGTACAGTGTGTAGGTTCTTTGTAGGTTTTAAAGACATGATGATCACCACAGTTATAGACACAACTGTAAGCAGCTGTGAAATTAAGCTTGAGAAAAATTTGGGCTTGAATGGGACTCAAACCCATGACCTGTACAATGCCGGTGCAGTGCTTCACCAACTGAGCTATCAAAACAAAACAATTTATTGTTTTGGATTTGTAGTGAACATGTACATGCAACATTTAGCTGGAGGATCATGGATGTAAATAAGTGCAAATCAGATTTTCTAAGTAATTGATGATGTTCTTTATTGATTTTTTGGGGGGTTGACGCTTTTTAATAACCACTATGCATTTAAATGGCCAAAAATGTGATTTGTCTCTTATTAATAAAGTCATTGATGAGTAAAATGTAGATTCTGTTGATATGTTTTAATTTGTGCTTGTTTCCTCAGAGTAATATTTTTGATAAATTAATGGTCTTTGGTCTTTGCTCTCATCCTTTAGAATTGCATTTGTGAGGTTTTCCAATTATGCGGATGCTGTGCGAGCTCTCAGTGATATGGATGGCTACAGTTTAAGAGGTGTCATGTTGAAAATGAATCCTGCTACTGAGCGCATGTCCCAGCAAAATGCAAAAGGTGGCAAGGATAAAAAGGACGAGTCAAAAATGGGCAGAGCAAACAAGAACAGAGCTAAAACGATGATCAATGGCTTTGTGGATAAAGAGGCTGTCATTGCAGAACTCAAACCTGGAAGTAGTTTAAACAATTCTTTACCATCACCTAAAGAAATGAAAACAGCTCTTTCAGAAGAAAGCTGGGAAACAGATGGTGGATTGCCACCAAAACTGGTAGTTGGAGAAAACGAGAAGTTTTTTAACCAAGACAATTTTGATACTTGTGTATATAAAGAAGATGGATTCTACCCCATACATGTTAGTAATTTTCCTGCGGGAACCACACAGGTGAGGTTACAACTTAAATATCACCCTCCTCCCTGTATGTGCCCCCTTTCTAATAAGCTTCTAATTTTGAGTTTGCTTTTGTTAAGGAACATTTGTAATCCAATAAGCTCCCCTTTATCATAGTTTTATTTACAGTCCCATCAGAGTACCACTTTGGTACACCAAGTGGTGGCCAAAAAGCTCTGCATGAAGAAAAACACACCAGCTTTTTTGCCACCAAAGACTCAAGTATTAACTTTGGAATGCTTTGGATATCACTTGGAACTCTGAATAGTATAATTATCTAAAGGTCAGAAGGGTAAAAATATTATTTTCTGTAACACTTCACTTCATTTCACTTCACATGTTACGTTGGCTCATCTCTAATTTTGAAATGGCTTTTAACACCAATGTCTAGAATACATGTACCAGTATGCTACATTTTAAAAGAACGGTGACCATCCTTGTAGGATTAGTAGTTTTAATTTAGAGTAATATTTTGATGATCTATTAATTAATTGAATCTATTAAACTTATTTCAATTAACAAAATCTACTTGATATATAATGATTTATTTTGAAATGATTATAAATTTTGTTTGCACTTCATCTTAGACAACTATTTGTAGCTGATTTTCACTAAGAGAAGGATTCCTTTGTTCTCAGAAAGCACTTAAACAGTTATTCAGTACATGTGGAGACATTGCACGGATAAAATTGCAAGAAAAGTGAGTTCATGTACAGTGTTATAAAGATCTTTGTTTTAATTCATCTCATGGAAAATTCATGGAAAAAATTGAAACAACTGACCAAAGTAAAACTGCATGTGTTCTATGGGAATAATCTATCTTTGAATAGTTTATATATTATATAATGGTTTGAAGGAGTATTGGTAGTTCATCCAGAGTGACCATCTGGGCAAGGGTAGTATTGAAAAGGAAGTGTTGTTGATGACTGATGTTTCAGCAACTTGAACGGATTAAAAAAATAATGTTTTTATATATTTTTTGGATAACAGGTTTGCTTTTATCAGTTTCACCAAACAAGAAGGAGCTGTAACTGCCTTAAAAAAAATGAAAGGTACAAAGTTAGGTGATAAATTTCTCACAGTGACTCCCAGAACACCCAAAGGTAAAGCCAAGCAACAAGAGAACTCATCGGGTGAGAAATGTGTAGGATTATTATTATTATTACATGTTTTTTGAATTAATTATAAGGAGTGATGGAATCATAGAAATCCAACAGGAACAAGCCCTGTAGATTGAAAAAGATAGATTTCAGTGTGATCTTTTGACTTGCCTTTTTTTTTTTATCATCAGTGGGATCTTCTGCACTAAATCGTACATCTAGTCAGAGTTCTGTCTCCAGCAGTGATTCCTTAACACCACAGTCACCTAAAAGTCACACTGTTTCTGCAGCTTGTAGCTCAGGGATTAACAGTAATGGACGCACACATACAGAGTGCAATGACAGTGATGTAAGAGTTAATGGATACAGAGGAATGTCTGAGAGTTGCAGAGGACAAAAGACAGGAAGTTGTAGCAATGCAGCAGACACTTCTAGTAACATCCATGTGTTTAAACAAGAAGGAAAACTGGAAGAGACTAAAACTGCAAGTTGTTCTTCTAAAGTTGTTTCTGAGAAAGGCTGCAGCAGTTTTGATAGCAAGCCACAAACTTCTGTTAGTGTAAAACAAAGTGTGCATGTTCATACTCTATTAGCATACTTAGAAATGTGTGAACTTTTAAAGAGGTGCAAGAAGCCTATGAGGACTCTAGATAACATTGGAGCTAAGGAGTTTGACATTCTTGTGACTGACGTTATTGACTCTTGTCATTTCTGGGCCAACATTGATGATGAGGTGAGCCCATTGTAGGGAGGAGGTTTATGTACATACATGTAACTCACCTTGGTTTAAGACGAGAGCTGTCAACTCTCTGGCATCAATATGCCTCGCTTGAAGGAGAAGGGTTGATAGAACCCCTTGCTTTTTTTCTGTTATGAGAAGTGATCTAATGCTCTGCTTCCTATGACCTTCCCTCTGGTCATTTGTGATACTAAATTGGAATATTATGGTAAATTACTCACTAAATTTAATCCAGAAAATTTTGCCATCTCTCCCACTTATTACCCTCAGGAAAATCCTATTTCTGCCACATTGCCTTCATGGCTTTCCTTCCCCTTTTTTCCTTTAGGTTCCTTTCCTCCTTGCCCACCCATACATTGAAGGTGGCTTACTACAATTTTATTGGAGTATTAGCTCTGAACTCGTTTGAAAAATGTTCCAAGATGTTTTTCCTTTCCTTTTGCCACGATTATAATTATTTGATGTTTGAACAATGAATTAATATGTTACTAAATAGCCAAAATGCAAATCATTTCATCTGTAAACTGCAGTTTTGTGTATAAAATGGTGATGGAATTGCTTGAAGATGAAATTTTATGGTTTGATTACAGATTGGAAGCTACAAGGAACTGGAACAAATCCGAAATGATCTTCAGATAGTAGAACATCATCCACGGTGTATGCCAATGCAGTATCAACTGGGTGCGTCTTTGTTTTCGGAGGACAAAAAGTGGTACAGGTAAGGTACCAGAAAGTCCCGGGAGTAGTGCCCATATTGTTTTTGGTTTTAGCAGCCTTTTCCAGTACATGTAGCTATTTTTGGAGGGTTATCACATTTACATTCTCTGAAGCTCATTACTTTAGGGTGGTGGAAACATGGATGTACCATATATTTATACCTTGATTAATGGTACTATTATTGCATTGTAACTGTAAGCACACACTTTACTGGTACATCAAGCAAGCTTACAGTCACTTTTAACTTTTCTTTTGTAATTTTTTACAGTTACTTTTAACTTGCTTTTCCTTACTACAGTTTTGTATTCTCTTTGTCCTGTCTGTGCTATAGTTTGTAAAATTTGGTGAAAGGTCGCTCAAGGCCTAGATTGATTGATGAAGAATCCTAGCTTAAGAATGCTTGCTACGTGTACCTGTAATGAATGTTTGTCATTGTCCAAAAAATGTTGAGCAGGGTGCAAGGAAATTTACAAGAATAATTTTTCTTTTCTTTCAAGATGCTGCTGTTTAGAAGTGTCTAATTTAGAAAGGAAAGAAGCCAAAGTGTTTTATATTGATTATGGTAACTGTGAGTGGATTTCATGGGACCGGTTTACAGACATACATAAGAGATTTTGGGATCTTGCTCCACAAGCAGTGCCTTTCAAACTGGCAGGTAACCTAGACTATGTACCAGGTCTACAGTGTTGGTTTAATTTTAATAACTATTGAGAGTGCAGTACTATGTACAAAGTACTAAGTTTTAAAAAAATTTCAGACATTGTCTGCTGAATATTAGAACAGTAAAGGCAAAAATTAAGTTACCAAAAAAACCTCATACCCTAGCATGGTAAGATTTTGCTTTCGGTTAAGAGGAACTTGTGCTATTTTTTGATCCTAAATGTATGCCACTTTTTGATCCTAAATGTGGCCTTTGTGTGCATTCTATTGGGATCAACCGTTTTCAGTTGGTTCGGTTTTCATGATTTTAACCAAGGCTGTGGGCTAAGAAAAATTACAAGGAGCCTGAAGGTTCCTGACCATGAAATCCTGGGTGCCCAGCACTAAGCTTACATGTATCATCAGAATATTTTGCAATGGCCAGTTAATTCTTGTTCTGAGAAGTGTGGAGACTGTGGATAGGTTCACTTGACTGTCTTATTAGTGTTAATTATATAATGTTAAAAAAATGTGTTTAATTTATACATAGTGTGTTCTTGCAGGTCTTGAGAATGCATCAGGTGTGTCACCAGCAATGTTGAATGAAGGGTCAAAATACTTGACTGATCTGATTATTAACAAAGTATGCAGGGCAAGATCAGTCCAACCATCAGACCCTAGTAAGGTAACAAATCCTCATTTGTGAGTTAAAGTAAAATTTGTTGATGATTTTTTCTTATGGGAATCCCCCCCCC